GTTGTCTGAGTTCTTTGTATATTCTGGAGTTTACTTGTCTGTCAGATATATAGGTGGCAAAGGTTCTCTTCTATTCTGTGGCTTTTTCTTCACCTGATTGACTTTTTTTTTTTTTTTTTTTTTTTTTTTTTAGCTGTACCTAACTTTTTAGTTTTATGAAATCCCACTAATCAATTTTTGGCCCTAATTCTAAGGCAAATCAAGTCCTATTCATAAAGTCCTTTCCTATACCTATTTCAGGTGTGATGCTGCCTATGCTTCCTTCTGTCAGTTTTAGTGTTCAGGTTTTCACCCTTTAGGTCTTTGATCAGTTTCTTGTTAGTTTTTCTATATAGTGATAGATCCAAATCTAATTTCAGTCTTCTTCCAGTGGACATCCCTTTTCTCAAAAACATTGGTTGAAGATGCTTTCTTTTCTTCACTGGATATTGTTGGCATCTTTGTAAAATTTAAATGGCTGAAGTTATTTATGCTCATGTTTAGATTTTTAATTTTGTTCCTTTCCTCTGGTCTACATGACTGTTTGTTGTGATGGTCCCCCCCCCCCCCCCGCCTTTTTTATTACTAAGACTGTGTAATATATCTTGAGGTCCAGAGTGGTCCTCCTTCTAACATTGTTCTTCTTCTCATGGTTATTTTGGCTATGGCTATGTGAGCATCTTTTATGATTCTTTATGAACTTTTAATAGTGTTCATTTCTGTGAAGAATGAGATGTGGAATTTAACTGGGAATGCTTTGAATCTATAAATGGATTTTGGTAAATTGGTTCTTTTTCACAATATTAATTCTATCAATACATGAGCATTGATTGTTTATCTATTTTCTAATGTCTTTCTCTATCTCTTTCTTAATTTGTTTAAAGTTTCTCTTTCAAAGGGCCTTGACCTCCTAGTTTCATTACTGTCAACTTTCACTGACCTATACAGATCTGGCATCTGAGGACCTGAAATAATGGGATAGACTACAGTTGTAGATTAATGCTGTAGACAACCTTACTTCAGTTTCAGTGTACTTTATACACGAATGTAACAAAACAATGATCCAAGGAAGGTTGTTTGAGTTCAGTGGAACATGATCAGAAAAACATGTAAATAAATGGGAAAAAGAATATACTAAATAATCCTAGATACTAACAGAGCAGCCCTTTCCCAGAACTTTCTCAGGGCAGACCAATTTTGACACAATTGACTGGCACATACTATAAATTCTATCTGAGAAAGCACAGAACAAGGCAGAAAACCATATCCAGATTCAGAGTATACTTACCAGATTGGGTTATATAGCAATGTTCTGACATCCAACAAGAACAAGCATATTTTTTTTTCTTTTTTTTCATATTTTAAATTAAATGTAAATGTTTGTCATGGGAGACAAAAAAAGTCACATCCAAGAACAATCCAAGGATCAGAATGCACCTGAGAAAAAAGGCCCTCTGCCCTTTTTCCTAGAGCTTCTCGCATAGTTCCCCAAGGCGTTATTCATGATACCTTATTCTTTTGACTGTGTTCTGGCACATTCCCATATATTTTATGCTCTTTGAGGCTGTTGTGAATGGGTATGTGTAGCTAGAGTTTTCCTGCCTGGCCCACAGTCAGGACAAATCTCTGTCACCCGCCAGTCCCACAGCCACTCAGACCCGACCAAGTAAACACAGAGACTTATACTGGTTACAAACTGTATGGCCGTGGCAGGCTTCTTGCTAACTGTTCTTATAGCTTAAATTAATCCATTTCCATTAATCTATACCTTGCCACATGGCTCGTGGCTTACCAGTATCTTCACATTCTGTTTCTCATCGTGGCGGCTGGCAGCGTCTCTCTGACTCAGCCTTCCACTTCCCAGCTTTATTCTCCTTGTCCCGCCTACACTTCCTGCCTAGCCAATGGCCAATCAGTGTTTTATTTATTGACTAATTAGCAACATATTTGCCATACAGAACATCCCACAGAAGGTATGTGTCCATAATCCCTTTCTCTGGATGTTTATTGCTCATATGTAGAAGAACTATTGATTTGTGCAAGTTGATTCTATATCATGTCACAGTCCTGTATTGGTTTATATTTCTAGTAGTTTTCTAGTAGAACTTTAGGGATCATTCATGCATATCATGTCATCTGCAAATTGGCATAGTTTGATTTCATTTTTCCTAAGTGTAACCCTCATCTTTAATGTGGGATACTATTCAGCTACATAAAAGGATGTAATTTGTGACAATATGGATAATGTTAGATTTCTGAATACAGAGTAAAGAGTCAAAAGGCAGGAAAGAAGCTGACAACAGAGGTGTAGCTAGAGAGTTTTCTCTCCGGGTCCTGCCAAGCCCCAGCAGTCCGACAGCCCACTTATAAAATAAACACACAGATGCTTATACTATTTAAACTGTGTGGCCTAATGACTCAGGCTTCTTGTTAACTGTTCTTATATCTTAAATTAACCCATTTCTATTAGTCTATAAGTTGCCATGTGGCTCATGGCTTACCGGTACCTTACATCTCTCTTGTCATGGAGGTGGCTGGCAGTGTCTCTGCCTCAGCCTTCCACTTCCCAAAATTCTCTTCTCTGCTTGTCCCACCTATACTTCCTGCCTGGTTACTGGCCAATCAGTGTTTTATTTATTAATCAATCAGAGCAACACATTTGACATATAGAACATCCCACAGCACAGAGGAGACTGTTAATTTGTACTCACAGAGAGGGACATGAACTCTCATCAAGTCCCACATGATGTGTGACTGTGATTGTGCTATCAGACTTACTTACCTATATCAGAGGCACATCTAGCTCTGATCACTAGCACTAATCAACTGTACTTGGAGGTAAAACAGGATTCCTATGAGATTATGGGTGTCATTGCTCAGCCTTCTCAGTCATCCTAGAAAAATATGCCTGTTGGGTCAGCCTGTCTCAACATTGGGAAACAGTGTGATAGAGAGAATGTGGAGAGAAAAGTGGGCTTTTTTTTTTTTTTTTTGGTTTTTTGAGACAGGGTTTCTCTGTGTAGCTTTGTGCCTTTCCTAGAACTCACTCTGTAGGCCAGGCTGGCCTTGAACTCACAGAGATCCGCCTGCCTCTGCCTCCCAAGTGCTGGGATTAAAGGCGTGCACCACCACCGTCCAGTGAGAAAGGTGGGCTTTATGTTATAACAATTTCCTTGTTCCCTGGCCCCTCATTGTACCCCTATAAAGGTTATATCCATACTTTCCCTTGGTAGAACCATCAGTTTCCCAGGGGATTGAGACTGCTCCTCACTGTGTGAGCTAATGAACACAGTCCTGTTTGTTGAAGTTCAGACTCCTGTCCCTTTTCTGTCTTCTGTCTCTTTATGCTGTCTCAGAAATGTAGCACTGTCAGTCAGATGTTGAATGTAAAGAATTTTCAATCAAGAGAGAGATGTGATTTTTATCCCATTAGCTGGTGACATCAGGAAGAAGAGGTCTGGAGAATCATGGATCAATGGATGTTCTTGTTTAGTTAGATAACAGGAAGGAATGTTAAGGTACTGTGGCTGACCTGAACCTACAGAAACAAGGATTTCAAATGGCTAGGTATGGAGTGGGAAGACCAGGGATAAGAAATGAAGAAGAAAAAGACATAAAGATGACAAAAGCAATAGTTGGTACCACACAGTTTTATATTAACTGAAAACTCAAAGGCAAGGAAGTTTATTAAGAAATACAGCATGCTATATAGTATTACCAGGTGGTAAATGATCAAGGTCAGCAGAGACTTAAATCATACAATGTTGGTGATGAGAACACAGGATACTTCAGAAACAGCTGCCTTAGGACTGATAACCCCAGTCTCGAGAGAAGAGTTAGATCCCCCAGTAACTGCAACATTGCCTCCTTCATGGCACTGGATCCTGTGTCAGACTGGCCTGGACCAAGGACACTGTTGAACAGAAACAGAGAACTATAGTTCCCATTGTCCTCTCATAGGTGCCTCTGAAAAAGCCTTGGGTCAATGTAAGTTGTCACATTGAATAAACTTATTTCTAAATTTCCTAATTATAAATTTATTAAAATACTTGTTATTCAACTTTGTTTATGAATTCTTCATTTCTTCTTCTACCCCTTGGCTGATCAAGTCCCTTGGTGCACTGTCATTTGCATCATTGTCTACATGCTCAGGATCCCAGGCCTCATCCCAGAGTTGCTGCATCAGATCTACACCGTCATTGTATTTCTCATTCATGATTGTGTAGAATATGTTGAGAAATATCTTCTCCATCAGCATGGCTCTCTACTATGAGAGATGTGTATAATGTATGCTATATTATAATACAAACATGGGACACTAAATGTATATTTTTTCTAAATTTTAGTATTTATTCATTTATTTTCAGTGTATGGGTGTTTTTGCTAGTATGCATGTCTAAGAGATTATCTGAACCTCTCAGCTGGAGTTACAGACAGTTTTAAGGAGCCATATTGCTTCTGGGAATCAAACTCAGGTCCTTTGGAAGAGCAGCCAGTCCTCATAATTACTGAGCCCTCTCTCTAGACCCAACATACTGATTCATAGATGCATGCACTCTCCATTTTATGGTTCTGAAAAGTATAATATTCATAGGAGTTTCTAGGATATTCTGCTATTCACTTTGTTTAAAGATTAGTTTCATGTAACATCACAGTACTATATCAGACTTATTTTAGGGATATTGCTTACATATATTAAAAGTGCTTCTAGCTATCCTGTCATTCTTTTTTTTTTTTTTTTTTTTTTGGTTTTTCGAGACAGGGTTTCTCTGTGTAGCTTTGCGCCTTTCCTGGTACTCGCTTTGGAGACCAGCCTGGCCTCGAACTCACAGAGATCCGCCTGCCTCTGCCTCCCGAGTGCTGGGATTAAAGGCGTGCGCCACCACCGCCCGGCTATCCTGTCATTCTTGATGACTTCTAGATTTGTATGTAGAAGCAGGTGATGCTTCATGTTATTTATATATTATTGACAGTTTTAATGAATACAATGTGTGGTATTCATTCATTGTTCTTTATTTCAGGATATCCTGTCATTCTGGGATGTAGCCATTTATTTCTCTGCAGAAGAGTGGGAATGCCTGGGCCCTGCTCAGTGGAATTTGTACAGGGATGTGATAGTGGAGAATTACAACAATCTCGTGTTCCTGGGTGAGGATCTCTTTCATCATAAATTCTTAATTGTCAGCATGAAACTTGCTACCTTTGTAGAATATATGATGGGAATTTGTACTTACAGTAGTGAGTGGTAATATTAGAAATTAAGTGGCATGAGCAGGGTGTGTACACGTTAAAGAGACCGTCACACTCTTCAGTTTTATTATTTTTCCTTGTATCTGAGGAACATGAAGCTCAGGACTTGCAAATCCTAAATTCCTCCTAAGCATTCTGATGTGGCTGTCACATAACACAGGAAGGGCTACACCTCTATGATCCTTTACCGTATGCTCTCATTCCCTATACACACAGTCCTGAAGAGGACATCTTATTCGCAGGAGAACACACTAACAGTGTTGTTCCCTTTTCCCACAAGCAGGTCTTGCTTCATCAAAGCCATACCTGGTGACATTTCTGGAGCAAAAACAAGAGCCTTCAGGTGTGAAGAGACAAGCAGCTGCCACCATGCACCCAGGTGTGTAGGAATGAGGGGGTCAGTGGACAGAATGGGAGGCCAACAGTGCACCAGAAATCTGGGCTTTATCCTGAGCATTGAGACATGAGGTTTTGGTGGAAATCATTTTTTAGGGATCTCTGTTTCTGTCCTTTGCTAACAAAGGAGGACATCTCAGAGGTTTATGACGCTTTAGTCTCCCATGCTTGTTCTTCTCCTCCTATGAGGTCAGCTTGTGTTTACGGTGACACCAAAGCTCTGTCATTTCTAAGTAAACTTGACTTATTTTTCATTATATGATTGTCTTGGGTGTTTATCCTCTTTATAAAATATGCATAAAGATTCCTGTATTAAATCTTTGAAATACATAATTTAATATTGTAATGACAGTCTTCTGGTTATGCAACTTAACTTTCATACCTTTCAAAACTAAAACTCTGTGTCAGAATATTTATAATTATGTATACATGTGTTTTCCATGTTTGACTACTTTTATACTTTTTGTTTCTCTAGTCATAATATATATATCTATATATATATATATATATATATTTGTTTAAGGGACTGATTTAGCATAATACTCTTAAGGGTCTTCTTAACTCTTTTTGTTACACCTTACTTCCATGTTTGACTTTGATTAATATTCCTTTTTTTCTATGTTCTATGTTGTCAAGTTCTTCTTATTTCAATGTGAGGTTATATGTAAGGTTCCAGCTATTATGTTTTTAAATTATGCTCCATTGAATGCAGCTTCAGAAATTTGAATATAGCCTATCATTTACAAACGGAAATGCAAGTATGATAAGTTAATGTTTCTGTTTTTAAAAATAAGCATTGTAACTATAAAGAATTTTGCTCAGCTTTCAATCATTTCTCAACCTTTACTCACCAGGAAAAGAACAATACACAGACGAAGAATGTGATAAAACCTTTAATTGGAACTCACAACTTACTAACAATCAGAGGATTCATTTAAGAATGAAGCCCTATAAGTGTGAAGAATGTGGGAAATCTTTTTGTTTCCCTTCATTGCTTTCTATACACAAGAGAATTCATACAGGAGAGAAACCATTCAAGTGTGAAGTCTGTGGCAAGGCCTTCCATTCTCCATCACTGTTTTCTGTACACAAGAGAATTCATACAGGTGAAAAACGCTACAAGTGTGAAGTATGTGGTAAGGCCTTCCATTGCCCATCATTACTTTCTGTACACAAAAACATTCACACAGGTGAGAAACCCTACACGTGTGAAGTATGTGGCAAGGCCTTCCATTGTCCATCCGTACTTTCTAGACACAAAAGACTCCATACAGGGGGAAAACCCTATAAGTGTGAAGTATGTGACAAGGCCTTCCATTGTCCGTCAGTACTGTCTGACCACAAGAATATTCACACGGGTGAGAAACCCTACAAGTGTGAAGTGTGTGGCAAGGCCTTCCATGCTCCACCTTTGCTTTCTGCTCACAAGAGAATTCACACAGGAGAGAAACCTTACAAGTGTGAAGTGTGTGGCAAGGCCTTCCATACCCCATCACTACGTTCTGTACATAAGAGAATTCATACAGGGAAGAAAGCATACAAGTGTGAAGTATGTAGTGAGGTCTTTAGCACCTCCTGGCAAATTTCCAGTCACTTGGTAATCCACTCTGGAGAGAAACCGTATAAGTGTGAGCATTGTGGAAAGGCCTTCTCTACAAAGTCATACCTAACTAAGCACAAATTACTTCACAAGATGGAGAAACTTTACAGATGTGAAGAATGTGGCAAACAGCTCAACAGTTCTAGAAGCCTTCAAGAGCATCAAAGAATTCACTCTGGAGAGAAACCCTACAAATGTAAAGAATGTGGCAAAGACTTCAGAACTTACACAGCACGTTCTAGACATCGGACAGTTCATATTGGAGAGAAATGTTACAAGTGTGGAGAATGTGGCAAAACCTTTTACCAGTCTTCTGGTCTTAAGCAACACCAAAGAAATCATCTGTGAGAGAAACCACACTGGTGTGAAGAATGTGCCAAGGCTGTTTGGATGTAGAAAGAACTTTTAAAACACCTGAAATCCATATTGGAGAGAAATGCCACAGGTGTGAAAAATGTTGCTAACTGTTTAATAAGCTTTCTAGTATTTCTCAGCACAAGACAGTTCAAACTGGAGTTGAATAGTACAAATTTTAATGTGTTCATAAAATATTTTACACTTCTTCAGACTGTAAAAGGTATCAAATTTTCCATTCTAAATAGAAACCTTAAGAGTAGAGAATGTGATAAACTTACCTAGCACAAAAGAAACAGAGTGGAAGGCAGCCATACACATGTAAAGAACGTAGTGAGTTTTCCACTGAATGAATGCTTTCTGACCTCTATAGAATTTATCCTGAAGAGAAACACCACAATTGTGAAGGGTTTGATGATGCTTTTGAAGACTCTTCATAAACAAAAACGTTCTCATACTTAGCAACACCCCTACAACTGTGAAGAGTCATCATTCTGACCTTGCTATACAAGAGTCTCTGCAAATATAGAGTATGCCCAGGCGTTTAGTGATTCTTTATGACTGTTTCCCCATCATAGAATTCATATTGGTATAGTGCACTACAAATGCTAAGATCATGGCAAAGCCTTTATCCATATCAGAAGTGTCCTCTGAGACTTTTTAGTGGTAAGAAAGTCTACACACCCAAAACCATGGGAAAGCCTTCAATAATATCACTAATCATCATAAACACAAAACTCCACATATCCAAATAATGTGAAAAAACCTTCAGTGATATCACCAACCAACACAAAAGTCTATACATCCAAATAATTTGAAAACACTTATGTAATTTTTTTTTTTTTTTTTTTTGGTTTTTCGAGACAGGGTTTCTCTGTGTAGCTTTGCGCCTTTCCTGGGACTCACTTGGTAGCCCAGGCTGGCCTCGAACTCACAGAGATCCGCCTGGCTCTGCCTCCCGAGTGCTGGGATTAAAGGCGTGCGCCACCACCGCCCGGCTATGTAATATTTTTAATCTTCATTAACACCAAAGAATATTCACTGGTGAGATGTTCTACAAATGCAGATGTCTTGTTTCCTTCTGCTCTCAACTCCACACAGACAAACAATATATGATGGAGTCTCAATTGAGTGAATGCCTGGATCTGATTGACCCGTGGGCATGTCTGTGGGTCTTTTTCATGAATTCTATTTGACATAAGAGAATCTGGACCACTGGATGATGGCAGTGCACCTTGTGTATGCCACTCTTGGTGACTTAGTCTTGGGTGTGTAAGAAGAAGACATAAAGTAATATTCCTCCATGGTTTCTACTTTCACATACTGCCTCTATTTTTTAGCTGTGTTCTCCTGCCCTGGCTTCCATGGATGATGAAATACAGCTAGTGAACTGAAATAACCCCCTTTCTCCCCTAAGTAGTTTTTTGTCGTGGAGTTAATCACACCAACAGAAATAAAACTAAGTAAACAATATGTGAAAGCTTTCTACTCTTCTTTATACATTAGTTATCAACCAGAGCCTTCGTAATTGAGACAATGTCACAAAGCTTTACGGTTTAATCAACCTTAACTCTACACGAGCATTCATAGTGTAACAATGCCCTGCTGTTACACAGAATATTATAAAGATTTTACTGGTTTTTATCAACATTTGAACACCACAAAGGTCAAACTGCAGAGGAATCCTGTGAAAAGAAATGAAACTCAATTTAAGAAAATCTACTACAGACTCCAATGATCGGTTATTTGACATAACTTCACATCAGGAAATTTGGTTACTGAGAAGCCCTACAAATACAAATGATGTGGAAAGCTTTTGATTTAAACTCCATTCTGACTAACTATGAGTGAATTCACATTATGTAGAAACCCTACATGTGACTCTGGCAGTAACTTTTACAACATATAAACCTCATGAGAGCAAATTAGTTATAGCAGAAAATATTGGATGAAGGCAAAAAGCATAGCAAAGTCCTTCATCCTCCCTTAAAAAGTAATGACTAGAGGGGAATTAGTGTAAGAGATCAATTCTGTTAATAAGGAATGTTGAAAAATGTGGGTATTGCTTAGAATTAAAGTGACAGTGCTGTTCGATATGCTAAAAAAAACCCTCAGTGTCAGAATCATGCAGATCCCTCAAGAAAGGATATCAGCCGGGCGGTGGTGGCGCACGCCTTTAATCCCAGCACTCGGGAGGCAGAGCCAGGCGGATCTCTGTGAGTTCGAGGCCAGCCTGGACTACCAAGTGAGTTCCAGGAAAGGCGCAAAGCTACACAGAGAAACCCTGTCTCGAAAAACCAAAAAAAAAAAAAAAAAAAAAAAAAAAAAAAAAGAAAGGATATCAATTAGACTTGTAAACTTAAACAAAGCTAACCTTTCTGAGATTCAATCACATGACTATGGAAAGGTCACATGTATTTTTCTTTTTGCTTTTGTTTTTTTTTGGGGGGGGTGGAGATTGTTGCCTGTTTGTTTTTGTTTCTCTGTGTTACAGCCTAACTGTCCTCTACCTCTCTTTGTAGACCAGGCTGGACTCGAACTCCCAGAGATCCACCTGCCTCTGCCTCTAGAGCACTGGGATTAAAGGCATGTGCCACCACGCTCAGCTGTTGTTTGTTTTTAAATACTATAAAACCAAATGATTACATTGTCCAGGATATTGGAGATTCCAAGAGTATGAAGGAAGGAAGTACACGACCTGCTAAGGAAAGCTACAAGTAATGAGTGGAGCATGCCGAGGAGAGAGGCTATGTGACTTTCAGGCAAAACTGGAAGGGTGGGGCACATAAGTCCTGTGACGTCAACACCAGTGCAGCAGTTTCAGAGAGCTGTCACATTATGTATTTGCTCTTCTGAATTTTGGGCTGATCCTTGCTGTGTGGCATATCTTCCATTTTAGAATCAGAATGTTTGTTCTGTATCAGTACATGATGGAAGTAGTCAGTTTTTATCTTGTAGGACCTCACAGTTAAGAAACTGCCTTGAATCTCAGATTGGATATGGACTGGGATCTTTTATACTCTTGAAATTGTTAAGTACTTTGTGGACCTTTCAAATTGGATTCTAATTTATGGATCAAATGACAAATATTTGGGTTGAATGAAATATTATGATTTAGAGTTATGTAACTGGAGTAATCATGATGTCTTTGAAAAGATATTTAATGGCCAGCAATACCCACAACCATATTTGTATTCATAATAGAAAGAAGGAATTACCTCTAAAGATTGTCCTCTGACCTCCATTCTTGGGCCCAAATACATACATACATATGTTTGCACACACATACAAAATAAACATAAATGAGGTTTTCAATGTGTATTTTTGTTTCATATAGACAAGGGACATAGAAGTAATGCTTAAATCTCAATTGTTAATGTAATGAGATGTATAATCACATGAGAAGCAAGCTTCTGGTCATTCCTTTGCAAGGGTTATCTTGATTAGTTTACTTGAGGTCAGAATACCTGTTGACTGTGGGAGGAAGCATCTGTTTGATTGGGATCCTGCATGGTATAAGAAGGAAAGAACACCCTGAGAGCAAACCATTGTCCTATCTCCTTCTGCTTCTTGACTGTGGATGGAACATGACCAGCTGATTCAAGCTCCTGTTGTCTTAAAATTCTCATGATGTATGGTGACTTGAATGAGAATTTCCCCTAAGGGCTCATATATTTTAATGCTTATTTATGCTTCCTCAGGGGGCCAGCCTCCAGACAGCTCAGGGCTCAAAGGGAAATCCACAGCATTGGCAAGTACTAGACTTTTCTATTGGAGGGTGTTAGGGAAAAGACACTCACGTTCTTTGCATTCTCTATTCTTTATTTTCCTGGTGATGTCCTTCTCTCATTCTTGATGTTTTCCTTCTAACTCTATTGATGTTTTCCTTCTAGTTCTTTCTAACTCTCATTCTTGATATTTTCCTTCTTACTCATTTTAACTCTCATTAGTGATGTTTTCCTTCTAGCCTCTTTTAACTCTATCTTTATTCTTTCCCCTACAGCTTATATACCCCAGCAAAATCTTTCACACAATATAAAAATTACAATGTGGTTACATTTTGTTTTTCAAGTGAATGATTACAATGAGTACAAGACAAACAGTAAAAAACGGAATGTTTTCCATATCCCTTACATGATTAAACATTTTATATATTACAGGTGAAAAACAAATTATCCCAAGAACTCTCATACATTCATACCCAAGCAACTTATTATAGATTAACTGTGTGGGCAAGCAGGGTATTCTCAGTCAGGTCTTTTGCTGGCAGGCTGCATTTTGCAGTTACAAAGAAAGGGCCAATTACTTTAGTACCTTATCTTGAAAGGTAATCTTATAAGGAATCATAAAGGATCACAAACCTAAACTTTTGTATATGAAAAAGAATCAGCCAGCTTGACTTTAAATCTTTAGGTTACATATCCACTCATCAACAGTTTTTTATATCAGGAGACTGAGGGCAGAAATGGGTATAAGGAAATAATCATCACCTTTGTGCTGTGGGATGGTCTGTATGTCAAGTGTGTTGCTGATTGGTCAATAAATAAATCACTGATTGGCCAGTGGTCAGGCAGGAAGTATAGGCGGGACAAGGAGGAGAATAAAGCTGGGAAGTGGAAGGCTGAGTCAGTGAGGCACTGCCAGCCGCCAGGATGACAAACAGCATGTGAAGATGCCGGTAAGCCACGAGCCACGTGGCAAGGTATAGATTAATGGAAATGGATTAATTTAAGCTGTAAGAACAGTTAGCAAGAAGCCTGCCACAGCCATACAGTTTATAACCAATATAAGTCTCTGTGTTTACTTGGTCGGGTCTGAGTGACTGTGGGACTGGCGGGTGAGAGAGATTTGCCCTGACTGTGGCCAGGTAGGAAAACTCAAGCTACACCTTTGGTCATCAACCAATCCTAGCAAGAAAGGTGCATCAGTTAGTAATAATTGGGCTGATTTGTTTTTATTCCCTGACCTTAAAAAATTCCACATTCAACTATGTGCCTTTCTAAAACTTTAGATTATCTTCTTGGGTTTTTCACCTCAAAGCTATTTGACAAAAATGTCTTAGCTTAACTTTAAGTTATTTTAAAAGTTTTGTTTCACCCATGATGCACTCTAAAACCTGTGAACACATCTCCCAATATTAAGGTAAAAAAAAATTTAAGCTAGCTGGGCTAACTAGGACTCAATTGTTTTCTTAATCATTAACCTAAGCCACAGTCTATATGGCTCCTCAATAGAAACTTATGTGTTGTAGCAGTGTGACACTTATTTATATTTTAACTCATTAAATTTCTATTTAAACTAACATTATTATTATCATTTAGACAGTACAGCTTAGGAAGAAATCATCTTCATAATAATCCACAGGTAAATGCCCAGTAGAACAGGATGTTTCCATGAGATAAACATACTACATTACAGGCAGTAATGATCATGTGGGGTTCTTTTGTTTATGTGGTGGATTACATTGACTGATTTTTGTATGTGTAACTATCCCTTCATCTCTGGGACAAAGCCTACTTGGTCCTGATGTATGATTTTTTTATGTGTTCCTAGATTAGGTTTGCAAGAATTTTATTGAAAAATTTTGCATCTATGATCATAAGGGGTGTTTGTAGTTTTCTTTGTTGAATGTTGTTATGGTTTGGGTATCAGGGTGACTGTGACTTCAAAATGAATTTGGCAATGTTCTGTTTCTCTTTTGTGGGGTAATTTGAGGAATATTGGTCTTAGCTATTCTTTGAAAGTCTTGTAGAATTCTACACTAAAACCATTTGGCCCTGGGTTGTTATTAGTCAGAGATACTTTCAATGACTGCTTCTATTTCCTTAAGGATTACAGGTCTATTTAAATTGTTTATCTGATCTTCATTTATCTTTGGTAAATGATATCTATCAAGAAACTTATCCATTTCTATTAAATGTTCCAATTTTGGGAAGTACAGGTTTTTAGAAGTATGACCTAGTGATTCTCTGGATTTCCATGGTGTTTGTTGTTATATCTCTGTTTTTCAGTTTTTATTTGCTAATATGGATATTCTCTCCTTCTTTTAGTAAGTTTGGACAAAGATTTGTCATCTTCTGATATTCTCAAAGAACCAACTTTTTTTTCATTGGTTCTTTGTATTATTCTCTTTGTTTCTATTTTATTGATTTCAGCCCTCAATTTGAATATTTACTGACATCTACTCCTCTTGGTTATGCTCATTTCTTTTTCTTATAGACCTTTCAGGTGCACTGTTAAGTTGCTAGTGTGAGATCTCACCTGGTTTTTTTTTAATGTAGGCACTTAGTACTATAAGCATTCTTCCTATCACCCCTTTTGTGTGTGTCCCATAAAATTTGGATATGTTGTGTATTCATACTCACTGAATCCTGTGGAGTCTTTAATTTCTTTCTTTCTTTATGTTTGTTTTATTTCAGAAGAGAGTTGTTCAGTTTCCATGAGTTTCTAGTCTTTCTGTTGTTTTTGTTATT